TCGTTTTTGTGATGTGACAATGAAGTTTGGAATTACGCGCGCGTGACAACTTTTTGCCATTAGAGGAGACAAAAAGAAAAAATCCTTTTAGTTTTTATAAAAACTTCTTTCAGCGGATGCCATCAACAGTATTCATAATGAGATTAAGTGTGCTTTATTCAGACATCATTGGAAATTAAGGAGACCGCAGCATGATGTTGACTCAGGGTTCGAGTTGAATGCCCAGCGGGTATTTCGATTGGGCTACGATTTGATTAGCAAATGGAACAATGGCTGCGGAATCCTTATCGATAATTGCTTTGGCTTGTAGACACGTCAAAGTCTTTGCCCGTCAAAACAGCTGCACTAACAACAAGTGCCCACTCATCTTTATTGCAGACACACACATACACACGCTCGCACACTCACACAGACATATAGACACCCACGCACGCAGGCCGGCTCACTTGTGATTGTTGCCACACGCGTTCCAACCTCAAACACAATGCGCAAATAACAGCATCAGGGACTCAGGCAGGACTCAGCCAGCACAATCGTGAAAGCCGCAACACACACACACCGGCGCACACCCTCAAACACACGTGCGAATTTCTGGCCAAACAAAAAAAAAGAAAAAAGTGTAGCGCGCTTTGCGGCGCAAAGGTGCAAAGTAGATGGATAAACGAGGACAAAGCTGCGTTTCAGTAACAAATCGAATATGTAAAACACTTTCCCGCTTGTTGTTGTTGTAGTTTCAAATTGTTGTTGCTGCATGTCAACCAGAACATGTTTATCAGGGCACATATGAGCTGACTTTTACCAATATGCGTGCGTGTACGTGTGTGCGTGTGTGTGTGTGCCTGTGTGGGTGGATGGTAAAAAGTAAAAGCAATTTAAGTATGCTAATCAATTGCCAGCACTTGAGTGCGAAATAAATAAATCTGAGAACAGAATCGCATAAATCTAAATTGAATTATATATAAATCCATTGCAGTGATTAGGCCTGGCCTAAAGCATATTTACCGAGCTCTCATTGCCCGAAGCCACAAAATACAGTCGACAATTTATAAATAGCAATGGCAAACACTCGAAGCATAGCAGAGTGTATAAATAAAGTATGGTAGGGCCACGGCAGATAGCTGTTGCCCGAAAAGGAAACGTGTGAAGGAAGTTGAATGAAAGTAGAAATTCGATTATATAGTAATATAAACTAAATTTAATATTAATTGTATTTTGTAAGTTTTTAATTAAATGTATTTGTACTATATATATATATATATATATTTACTATATATATACATATTTTTATTACGAAATAATCAAAAATTTAAATAAATAATAATAATAATATAATAAAAGTCAGTTGCGTTACAAGAAAATTTGTAAAGAAATTTAATGGTATTTTTATTTTACTGTTATAAATTTATTTTACTGTTAAATTCAATTTAATATATATTAAACGTTACATATAATTGTAAATTTATAAAATCATTCAGGTGTCTATATTATTTCAATTCTATTTCAATTGGTTTTCGTTATTTTTTCCGTTTTATTTTAATATGTACTCCTTTATTTTCTTCGTCTTACAAAATAATTAAACTTAATATTTTTCGTGCCTAATATTCTTATATGATTACTCTTTAAACTTCCTTTCACTCTTGATACCTTTCATAGTTCCATAATACCACTGACCACATAGCTGTGAGCCATGTTAGGAAGCATATTTTGTTCATTTACGAATAAATTATACTTTAAAATATGTAATTCAATTTTTTCAATACCTAATTTTAATGAATAAATAAAAGAAAAGTTTTGCCAGATAACTGTATATACTTAAAGAATTTTGTAAGGAATGTAAAATTCATAGTTGATTTTTTTGTTTAATAAATTTTTTTCAGACTTTATTTAATACATATTTAATTAAATTAAAAGTTTATTGAATTCTTTGTATCTATTACTTATTTAGTATATGTTTATTATTATTCAATATTCATAAAATATTTTGTATTTATTATTTAATTTATAAAATTCAATTTGATATTTATGAAATTCTACCTGTGTAGTCTAAATAAAGCAAGCTGTAGGGGAAGACGAATTATCTCTTGTAGACAAGTACATTCAAGTGTATGTATATATAACATATAACATACATATATGTATGTGTTCGAGCATCTTTCTTATAGTAGACAAGTAATTATCTATATATTTACTAATTGGCTTTCACGCTTTGTACTTCACCAACTTCAGAGTATGAACGACATAGATAGTAAGAACTCCAAACCATCCGCTCGCCACTGCAGTGAATCGAGATGCCTGCCATCAGCCCAAACTGCAGCTTGCAAGCAGCCCAACAACTGTTAAGCTTGTTGCAAGTGCCGTTACTCGTGCAGCAAGCCGCAAGGCGAAATTCAACAACATTTTGTTTATCCAGCTTTGGAAGTCGATACGCCAATTCGAAATGCCAATTACCGCCAAATTCCCGTCATGTTAGCTATTTACACGCACTCTGCTGCAGAATCTCGTGTCAGAGCTAAACTCGACGTTTACAGCTTGGAATCCGAGCTGAAAACCTTCGCGTGAGTGTGTATACATCGGTGTTAGTGAATGTGTGCGTGTATGCGTGTGTGCGCTCCTGTTCATAGTTGGAAATTGCGTAGGCCCTGCGAGCACATTCCCATTACAGCTGCATATTTGGCTAACTGGATTTGGCGGCAACTAAATGCTGGAACGATGTTGGTAACGTGACTAAAGGCGTTTAACTTTAGCAACTCTCTAATGGTCCAGAGTTGCCAGGCACTCTCAGCTCGAGTTGAATGCTTTTAGGATTGCCTTAAATGAAATTTAATGGCCAGTGGATGTGCCCTGACCATAAATAAAGTTGAGTCTGCGAGCTCGGTTAATAAAAAAGAGTAAATAAATAATTTAAGCTATGCTCGATGTATAAATATCCTGACTTTCACAAAGTTCATCTTTCGAAATAAATTTAATTAACTTAAAATACTTAAAGAAGTATGTGAATACCCTGTACTTTATAATGAAAAACATATATGTATGTATTTATATTCAAGTATATTTGTAAAGAAATATAAAATATTTAATTTGATTTGCTTCTGAATTGTGTATAAAATATTATTGCAAAAAAATTACGAAATATTTATTACAAATGTTTATTAAAAATAGTAATAATAATGATCAGCAAGTTAATCTGTTGAGTCATTAGCAAAACTTATTTCAAAAATAAAAATAAAAAAATTATGTTTCGGCGAAATATAAGCCTGGATTTAACCAATAATTTTATTTTTTATTATTTATTTATATGGGACACTTTATTTTCAATCAATTTACTGTATAATTTGGTTTTTAAAATATTTATTAATTTAATTACGTTATCAAATTTCAAATTAGAATTCAAAATTATTTAGCCGAAGAATACCTTTACTCAGATTCTGTTTATAGGGTATACTCAAGCTGCATACCCAGATCCGCTTGGCTCTTGTCAATGCTAATATCAGCATAAACAACAAACTGTCATTTAAACGCTTGCACTTCTAATCTCAACTAGCTGATTATAACTTATTCCAAAAACACAAAAAAAAAAAAAAAAAATAAATCGCAAAACTCTTGCAACATTTTTGGATTTGCATTTCAGTTTGGGGCATCAACAATGCGGCTGCCGCTGACCGCAACGCATAGGAAACACTACGCAAACCAAAATAGAATAAAAGAATGAAAAAAAGGGGAAGGGGATAGAAACCTGCCCACAAACAAATTTGAGGACCAAAGAGAGACAATTAAACCGCGTCCCAACTGAATATAAATCCTCCCCGTAGTTGAGGTGACAATAAAAACTAAACATGTTGTGAGCTAGCATTTAGTTTATGTGGGGCGAAGGATTGGGCTGGAAGAGCTGGGCCGGTGGCAGGGGTGGAGCAGGAGCTGTAGTTGGAGCTGGCGCATCCAACCCTCACAACAGTTAGTACGTGGCTGGGGCTTAGTCGGAACTTTTATGCTAACCCATGTTGATAATATCAAAGTAGTCTGGGCAGATTAAAACCAAAGCCACAAGCGACGTGCTCGTTGTCGTGTGTAAGCCAATAGATAATGCGTCCTCGTCCACTGGCATTTAAAGAGAATACATTAAGGAAATTTACAGCTCAAATGAATATTAATTAAAGCTAACTTCACTAGTATTTTTCTTGTTTTTTTTAAATACAATAGATTTAAAGGCTGCTCAAGTATTGTTTGAGTATGTAAAGAAAGCAGTGTAGCCCATGTGGAATCCATTTCATGGAATTTACATTCGATTTTGGGACAACTAAAGCAAGCAGTTGACTCTCCTGTTTTATACACTTTTACATGGCCGAATATATCTTTTTACTGCGGTAGCATGAGTCTTATACGAAATCCAAAAGACTTTTTCAATAAAGTGCTATGCAAGCAAGGTGGATCTAAATTGGCGCACTTTTGTCTTTTATACTAGACTGTTATACAAAATAGCGAAATACATATGTTATATAGATATAAACGCATTTAGTACATTGGCTGTTATACTCATAAGCATCTGTTATACAACCACAAGTGAAAACCTTGCTAAAGTATTCTATCTGGACTGTTCTACTTTTATACTTACCCACACATTTGTCATACAACAAAATATGCTAAACTATTCTACAAAAGGCATTTTTTATAGGTATTATAACATCTGGAAAAGAGGTTCACAAATAAGCTTAGTACAGTTCAAGCCCCTAATAAAAGTGTTATATATCTTTGTAGAATTAACAACACTAAACGGCTGTTCTACAAAAATAAATATTTCGAATAGTGGGAACAGCTAACTCAAACAAAAAGCGTTATATACTATCTATTTCCACCCCTAAAAAGTCAGTATATGCACGAACCCTCACGCCAAATTGTACGACAGCGGAAAACTGTTATACATATAACGCAGTTGAGGCCTGTTCAACCCCTGCTAGCAATGCTAGCGAATTTCGTATCTCTCTTCATTTGAAACGCAACAAAGCTTCAACAATTCCTATTTTATATTTAAAAAGAAAATCAAAATCTCGAGCTTTCATGTTTCGTTTTGAAAGCTTTTGTTAATGTAACCGTTGAGCGGAACAGCTGGGGGAGGACTTGGAATGTCGTAGACAGGATATAAGGGTGCAAATTCGTTGACTCCGAAGGCATGCAGCTCCTCCTCGTTGATGTTGCCGCGCAACGTGTGCTTTGACTCCACAAACTTGGGCAGAGCTTTGGAGTGGAAATTAGATATTAAACAAGGAAAGATGGGTGGCCCAAACTTGATAAGCTTACCTGTATCTGGCGAATTCAGCTGATTCTCTAGCGCCGTGATCATGGGCAACTCGTCTTGCTGTGGCTCATACCGCGCGCTGCGCCTTGGCGGCTGCTGCAGCACAACATCCTTCCCCGAGGAGGTCTTCAGGGCCAGCGGCCAGGTGCCAATCGTAATGGGCATGCTAATCAGCTGCTGCTCCCGCAGGCTCTTGATCAACGCCTCCACCTCCAGCTGATAGGCAATCTGTATCAGATTGCAGACGTTGAGGCAGGTGGGCGGCGTGCTGGGCACCTCCATATCGATGGTCAGCGAAACCGTGCTTCGCTTCAGCACAGAGTCCCCCTGGATCTTGCCAATCACAATGCGATCCACGCGCGAGTGCTCCGGCGTAATACTGAAATAACGGATGAGCATCACCAGTGAGAGCCGCAGCTCAGAGACGGATACGCCACTGTTATTGATCACGACCACCGTGACGGGTATTCGCTGGCCGGGCACATAGCCCGACTGGGGCAGGTGCAGCTCCATTTTGACGGGCGCAGTCTTGAAAGGTCCGCAGCAAAAGGTTCTGTAGTTCTCGCTGTGCGCAGCTAACTGGAGAAAAGAGATAAACAAATCAACTATTGGTGACTGAGAGGAAGATGGGGGGTGGACTTGTGTGATACTCACTCTCAGTTGCGGCGTCTCCACGTTAAGATCCATCATTTTCAGCACAGTGATGCCATGTGTATAGGCCTGATCGAATTTCCACGGCCGGAGCAGCAGCACCTTGACTATGTAGCGTATGCAGCCATAGCGACCCTCAAAGGACGTGGGACACTGATAGGGCAGCTGGCAGGCGAAATTGTATGTGTGCACACCCGCCGGAATGGAGTGCCTGTCGTTGCCTAACGGGCAATTTATTTATAGATTAAAGTTAATATTAAATTCAATCTAATTTGTAAGGAACAGCACTGGCTGCAGAGGTATTCGGCTATATTAGAGGAATAATATTGGTAGAAGCGGAATAAGTAAGAAAATTCAAGCCGGAGTACCTCGATCAATCTACATACAGTTTTTAGACATCAGAAATATGACATATAATTTATTTTTTATAAACTAGAAACCGTATGTAATCTGCAACAGCAATATTTTTAATCAAATTTATTATAGATCAGAAGGACTTTATGAATCGTTCTAGCTATGTTCATTTGCCGTCTTTCTGTATGCCACTATATGAGTACGGACAGAGAGGAAAAAGGGAGAGGGAAATTTGTAAACACGTCGAGCGACGAGCTCATATACTCGATAGATGAACAGAGCTAGAGCAACAAATCCACCTCCTATGATCAATAATATATATACTTTGCTCTCTTTTGCATTTTATTTTAACAAAACAACACTCTCAGAAATTCTCTTGTTTTCCTTATTCCAAGCTAAAATACTATTTTTATCGTTTCTTGTTCAGCTTCTGGAATTGATTTACAATTCGTATACTTACTTTGCTCAGAGCCAACTAGATATGTTTGCGATGCTAGATAATCCTCTCGGCCCGAGAATAGTTTTGTTGATGCCAGACGTCTTTCGCTCCACTTTGTTATGGAGTAGCCAACGACTTTGACTATCGCAGCTGTCGTGAAGATTATGATGATATATGATAAACTAATGTGATATTATAGTATGAGCCCTATACAGACAAGTGATAAGCTCGCTGTAAAGCCCAGCAGATAATGATTTTTTTTTACCGTGCTGCGATAATATATTGACCCATTTAAAGGATCACTAATTGCCCAATAGCTTTAATTAGTTGATCGTTCTGATAAGAAGTTCAGTTTAGTTGGAATTTACAGCCATTGGGGAACAGCTCGTTAAGGCTAGCAATATTTGAATACACGGTATTTGTACTTAAGGAAATCAGTTGGGGAATTTTCGTTCAAAGAGCTCATGTTTATTTATATACAATTCTTATCGTTCTGCTTTTCGCATACCACACACAAAAAATTCGAATCAATGTCGTCATAAACATATATACAAGTATATATTAGCTGGGACTATCAGCTATCGTTATCGCTTCAGTCTTTATAATGCCAATATTTGATGGACATTCAAATTTCCGATGCGTAAAAACGCAAGACACCGTATATAATATATTTTTATATATGTATTTTTTAATTATTGGAATACCTTGCACCTCCTTGACTTTATCGGACTTAAGGGTCACACAACCGCTGACCAGCTGACCGGCGTAGAAGGTGCCGTGCTTATTATTATCGAAGCTGATCTCGCACGTAACAACCATTTCGACGGCCGTAAACCCCGTGCAATATGACAAATTCTAAAGTTTCTGAGGCAATAGCTTCCCGTAATCAACGCATTTAGTCCGGGAAACGAATAACGACTAAATTAAGTTGAGTTACTGCTGTTGGTGGACTCTTTTGTTGGGCCCAGTTGAATTAGATAAGCGATAAGGCCGGAAAGCAGTGAACGTTAGTAGCTGGCAACAATTAAATATCGTAAGAGCGCGACGAAATGGAATTGGAACCAGCATTTATAAGAGTTGAGCTCTAGACATCATTATCAGAAAAGGCCAGGCCTTGACAGTGGTCTCTCATGCTTATGCTGAAGGTTTGATAAGGGCAAATGACCCTTCGCATAAGCGTTTAAATCAAATGCTTTCAATGTGTGCACACCAAACTTTACATTATATATTTCCTCTTTTTACTATCAAGGTTAAGGTAAACTATGTATACTCGATAAGCCACAGCGATATATTAGCTTGAAAATATTTCTCGAAATGTCACTTTTCAAATACCTGATTAGAGCTTCATATACTAGATAAAGTAAATAAAAACTTACATTTAAGTAATTAAATATACTATATATGTATATTTAAAAATATTCAACTCTAAATTTTGTTTTATCAGCTTGGCATTAATAATAATATGATAAACGCATTAAGTGGATGAGGTAAATCAAATTTTACATACATTCAATATAATTAACTTACGAAATCATCTTTATATCGGCTTGATATCTGATATAAAATTAATTTTTTTTAATTTAATAATTAATATTCTTTATATTTTTAGTATATACATATTTTTTAATATATCCACTAATATTTTTTATTTATTTATATTTTTTTTTACAGATAATATATTTTGTATATCTTTAATATTTTATTTTTGTTAAATATATTGTTTATTTTATTTTTAGAGATAATATAAAATTAAAACTAACTTATAGAGTAAAGCCCTGGCTACCGAGGCCTTCTGCAATTCACTAATAAGCTATAAGAGATTAGATATTTTAGCTTTGAATTTCACATGTATTCATTTCATTCACTTTAACACTTTCTTATCTGTTTCCACTTTGCGATTTTGTATAAGTATTGAAATGCTTTTAATAATGCTGTTAATTCTAAGTTATAATATAATTTTATTAGCACGCATGAAGCGTGATTTACGTGAATACAGACTAGATTAAGCAGAAATTGCAGACATTTAAAATAATTATATTAATAGTCTGTATAGTATGTCTTTTATACTCTGCTCTGCTCACAGCCAAGTGCCTTTGTTGGCATTCACGTCAGTATTCGGAGGTCCTTTGGGATCCGAGGGAGCTGTGGGGCTTGGTATGTCAAATATTGGATAGAGTGGCGCGAAGCCGTGCTCATCCAGGCTCAAGGTGTTCGGCGGTGCAGTAGCCTTCATATTGTTGGCGCCATCCGGCTGAGTGCGCATATGAACAGCCTCCTCGTAGTTGGGCGGTGCTAGGGATTCGAATACAATTAAAGAGAGTTTGCTGAATGGAGAAGAGACCAACTTACGAATGCTGCCATCGGCAGCCCACGGCGCAATGAAATCTGAAGGTGGTGCACTGGCCTGTGGCACTACTGCTGAGTGCCCCAATGCCTTGGCATCCAGTTCTTGTGGTGGCAGTCTATCTAGATCACGTGGCTGGGGCTGCATGGGCGGATTCTCTAGCAGCGGCACACTGCCCACAGTGATGGGTATGCTGATGACCTGGTTGCGATGGCAGCCCTTGACGCGCGCCTCCACCTCCAGCTGGTAGGCGATCTGGATGATCTTGCACAGATTGAAACAGGTGGGCGCCGTGGCAGGCACACGCAGGTAATAGGTGAATTGCTTCTTGCAGTGATGCGGCACGGGATCGCCTATCAGCTTGGTCACGAGCAGGCGCTCGTTGCGGGAGTGCGTCCGGGACATGTGCGTCGCGTAGTAGGTGACCATCATAGCGAGGTTCACCTGCAGTTGCTCCACGGCTATGTGGCTGTCGTTGGTCACCAGCATGCCCACAGGTATGACCTGGCCAGAGACGTAGCCCGTCTGCGGCAGAGTCATCTGCAGCTGCATCGGAGCCGAGGAGCACGGCCAGCAGCAATACACCTTTTGCGTCTCCATTTGGGTGGGCATCTGAGGATGAAATGTGATTAAATGACATATTCACTTCTTATAGAGTCTAGGAACTCACTCGTAGCAGTGGACTGTCGTAGTTGAGGTCCATGATCTTGAGCACCGTAAAGCAACGCGTGTAAAACTGATCAAATTTCCAGGGCCTGACCATAGCCACCTTAATCATGTAGCGCACTCGACCGTAGAGGCCCTCGATGGAGGAGGGACACGTGGGCGGAATTTGGCAGCTAAAGTTGTAGACATGCACTCCGGGCTCAATCGAGATTTGTGCTAATGCGATAATTCAAGAAGTTGTAATGAATACACATAATACGACTAAGCGATTTACTAACTGCTTTGACTGGAGCCCGCCAGATATGTTTGGGAAGCTATATAGTCCTCACGGCCGCGATATATATCGCTGGTTTCGTCCTTGCCAGTGCCAGACGATTCTGTCCATTCTGTTTCAGCAAAACCGCTGATGGTTAATTTTAAAGCTGAAAAATAGGTAAAGATCATTTTTGATCACACAAAATAAATAAATAATAATGTAATTATTATCAGAATATTTTAATATATTTTACAATACTTTGAGCACAATTCAAATACGAAGCTTGGATAGATCAACTCAGTTTGTCATGTGTATCTGCAATACACATATATGTATGTATATACTTTGAGGGATCTGCTGTCTCCCTCAAGTTCTTTAAGTCTCATTAAGTTATATGAATGAAATGGGATAATCCGTTTTCTGACTATTGCCCGCTGAATTTCAGTGCAGCCGGCCGGCGAGTTGAATTTGGTATAGCTTTATTGTATTTTATATTTATTTTATATCATAGTGAAGAAGAAGCATTTCGCCCTCTCCATACATTGTATATTTACTTTTTGCATTTCATCACACATGACGTCAGATCGACAAGTCAACAACTCGCTTGCATTACCTAGCTGAATATATACTTAATAAATTGCTTCAGTATTGCTATTTATATTCATTTTCCTATGTACACTGATTCTTTATATACTCTCATGTAAATAAAGGCATATACATATATGTAAATATATATCACAGCAATGATTCGCCAAATGCAAGACAAGTATACAAATTGTTTGGGTTTGCCCCATTGTAAAGTCGAATTTGTTTATAAATTCGTTTCGAAATTTTGATGAACTGTTTGCCATGGAATGTAATAGAAGAACCACGTAAAAATCAAAATAAATCTTGTATAAATAAAAACAACAAAGCTGTAATGTTATAGAAGAACTATGGAACAATAAAATGAAATCTTTCATATATATGTATGATCTACCATTTATAATGGACTAAGGGTATAAAATCATATATTTTCAAAGAATTATATATCTGCCTTGCAAATTTCCCATTTTGAGCGTTCTCAGTAAACTCTATATTGCAACTTTATGAAATCAAAGTCTAACATAGCGTGGACTAATAGCTAATTAGGCCTTTGTTTCTATTTAAAGGGGTATTTTCAATTGATTATTTTGATAATTGCTTGACCGCTGACTGATGCCATCAGCTAACAAATTTAGCGCGTGCCATGTAAGAGAAAGAATTCACATGAATCATTTTCAATTGCCTTGGTCTAACAGGCCAAAATTTGCACTTTTAACAACTCTTATACATGTAGCTGCCGATAAGATAAGAATGAGTCATGGGGAAGAACACGCTTGATGGCAGATTTAAAAGAAGAAAACGAGCAGCTAAACGCAATTTTGCACGAATTTATATTTAGCCGGAATTTCTATATTTACCTTTAACCACTTTGATTTTGTCCAATTTGAGGGTAATTTGGCCCGACACCACTTGACCTGCGAAGTAGGTGCCATGGGGATTGTTATCGAAGCTGATTATGCAGGTAACACCCATGATGTATGTATAGTCCCACTGCTATCGGACCGCTAACTGTTAATGTAATTGTAAATATTTCTGCGCCACCGACTCGTTACACTTCGCACTTGTCGCTATCGGAGTCCAAAACACGACTGATTGGATTGTAATTAATGCCCCAGCGGTTCGCTATTTATTTCTCACATAACGCCAACAAGTTTGGCAAATGCCAAACATTCCGCGCGCCACGTTTGAAACGAACTGGGAGTGAAACAAACTTTTGCTGCTCTTTTTTTTTTAAACACATAAATAGTTTTTTTTTTTGCCTTCATAATTTTTATCTTATCGCTGTGTCAATTGTATATTAAATATTCTGCCCAACTGCACTGCACACCAGACTAAAAAAAATGTGTTTGATTTCGGCGTAAATGAAAGAGCATATTATAAATAATCGAACTAACAATGAAATATAAAAAATTAGATAAAGAAAAAATAAACAAAGTATAGCTATAAAATTTAAAATTGTTATATATTATTATTTTTTATATGTTTACAAGGATTGCTTGTAGCTCTCTAGCTTATATGTCGAAACAAGACTATGCGACTACGGCATACTCTAAGGCCTATTTGTGCTACTCTGGCTTTCGTTAGATTTGGGCAGCAACAAAGACGGTATCTTAGACTGGGGAACACTTGCTTTGTATGTACTCCAGATTAATCTACAAATTAAATTGAATGACACTATCTTTTAAAACGTGCGACGTATGTTTATGCAGATAACTCAAATTTTGATTTAATTCTGGTATGTATATTCCACATACATACATATATGCCTAAGAGCTTATGCCTCCTTTGGAATATAGAGTATGGAATAGAAATTTACCTTATTTCCAGTGCTAAACAAAAGCTTATTTGTATATTCACTCACGTACGTAAACAGAGTATATTGGTGTTGTACAATGTTCGTTTCACTGACGCTGGCGATTTGATATTTGGAATTGACATATGTACATACATATACCCTCCGTTTCTAATGTGCCAAAATTTTCTCGTTTTCTCTCCCATCTACTAATGGTTTGGAAAGTGCCGTAAACGAATATTAAGTAGTAGAACTTACAGTATTCA